CACCCCCACACACACACACACACACACACACACACACACACACACACACACACACACACACACACACACCAACGCATGCACACACTCAGATAAAAATAAGTCTGAGAATACCTGGATGCCTAGCTAACTTTCTGTCTACACACCGATTGCTTTTTTTGATGTGAGGCTAATCCTGTGTGTTATTTGGGACCTGGTTCTCCTAAAACTTTGTGTTTTTCTCTGGAATTTGCATCCAGACGGGCAGGCTGTATTTTATTTGGCCTCCCTAGCCACACTTCTTGCCCATCACAAACTTGAAGCCATGTCAGCTCAAACTGTGGGCAAGGACACAGAAACTGGATCAGAACTGGGTTTTATGATATTAGACTAAAATGGACTTTGGGTCGCCCCCTGCCCAGGAGATGGGGGGAGACTATTCACTAGTAACACAGAGTACTTAGAAAGGTCGTAGAAACTGATCCTGCATCTGTGGGGTTGAAGAATTGAAGTGACAGAGAGGACTGTAGCTGGAACATTCCAAGTTCATTTTGTCCGCTGAGCCAGTTACATTTAGAGTATTAATATTACATAAATATTATTTGTGGTCAAGTCAGGCCATGGATCAGATTGCATTTCTTATACAACTTTTAATTTTTTTTCCCCTCTCACCATCATCTAGTCTAAGCATTTTTCCCTTTCATAAGCCATTTGTGTTCCTTTTTCTGGGAACTGCTTGTTCAGGTTCTCGGCTGGGTCATTGACTTTCCTCTCCCTCATTTATAAAAGTTCCTTTATAGGCAAAAAATAAAATAAAATGGGAAGACCGCTCTTCTCATGGAGAACTGGGAATGACAAGTGACAGAGTGTTGGAGCTTTTTGTCTTACTTTTTGAATTTATTTGTACTTTTGCATTTCCATATCTATTTCTGTATGTATACCTACATCTGTATCTATATATCTAGATAGGCCTTTGATCACACCCTAGTTTTAGCCTCTTATTCTCCCAGTAAGCACGCACGCACACACTCATGTTCATGTCTTGCCTGTTTGTGGCCCACTGCATTTGATTAGAGCATGGGTGATGAGTTATTTACTGGAACAAAGGCAATTTAACATTGTCTATTCCACAGAGGAATATGCCTTCTCATCTCCAAGCAACCATTAACTGTCGATTCCTCCTTTGGAAAGAGTGGGCCCTTATAAGCCCTTTCCTCATCCACAATGGGATACTGACCTGCCCAGTCTTATGTCAGTAGGTGGCTGCAGCTGCTGGGAGTTCACAGGTACAACAGCCGTGACATGTCCAGAAGCCCGTCTCGAAGCCTGTCTTCTCATCGTTTGGCTCCTACGTTCTTCTTACCCCCCCATTCCTAGATTTCCTTGGGCCCTGGATGAGATAATTGTATGCAAGGGGCACAGAAAGAAACTTCCAATGTGACTGGTGACAGAAAAAGACAGAGTGGTGGTTTGAAAGAAAATGGCCCCCCCAAATGGGTGCCACTATAAGGAGGTGTGGCTTTGCTGGAGTAGGTGTGGCCTTGTGGGAGGAAGTGTGTCACTGTGGGGGCGGGCCTTGAGGTCTCTTGCTCAATCTTCCCTCAGAGTGACTGTCAGTCAACTTCCTGTGGCCTGTAAAATGTGGGACTCCTATTTCTCCACCACCCCGTCTGCCTCCACGCACACTCCTAGTCATGATGATTATAGACACTGTAAGACACTGTAAGAAAGTGCAATTAAGTGTTTTTTAATGAGTTGCCATGGCTATGGTGTCTTTTATTCACAGCGATAAAAATCCTAAGACAGCTAGCTAGCTAGATACTTGCCACAAGACAAGAGAAGGGAAAAGTAAGAGCTGTGACTGGTTTGTCTCAGTTGCAGGGTGTGACTTCACACTCAGGAGAGTGTGAAGACTTGGTAGAACGTGTCATTTCTCTTGAGCGTTAAAGGTTATTTGATAAGTAGGTAAAACACCATAAAGCCAGAGGAAATAGCTCTCAACATAATCACACAATCATTGCAGCCATGATTTAAAAAGGAAAGAAAATGGCTGCTCTTATTTGTTGTATTTATTATAGCTATGCATATGTACGAACTCACACTGTGGTCTGGAACCATCTCCTAAGAGTGTGGGAAGAGCACATCTGTGTACTTCTTCCTGTATTCCTGTGTTGGGCACATATGGATAACCTACTGCGTTACATGGCGTCGTGTCTGTCTGGAATTTCTTTTTACAACAAACACATTATGTATTCACTCTTCCTGTGGATTCCCAACCCTAGATTTGGTTTTGTTTTGTTTTCTGGGGATTCTATTTGTTTTGTTTGTTTGCTTGCTTTCATTAGACAAGGGCTTGCAGGTTGCCCAGGCTCTCATCATACTCATGGTAATCCTACTGCCTTGGTAGAGCCATTGATTTTTTTTTTTAAATAAAACATTTATCAGATGTACTTCATAACTCAGAACAGCCTGGAGCTGAGGCTGGGTGTGAGGTAGGGAGCCTGACATTTACCAGCCAGAGTGACTGGGGTTGTCCAGCTTTCAAATCCCTCCTGTGCCTGAAGGAATTGTCTGGGAGCTCAACGGAACTGTCCCCAAATACCCAGCACTGTGTCAGGATGCCACTGTCGCTTGACAGGCGTATAGCTTCTCTCCCACGATGCTTCGAAAAGCCCGAGTTTACAGATCATGGATTGATCTGTACATGGGCCAGATTATTATCTTTTTAAATTTTTTTAAAATTTTTATTATTTTATGTGCATTGGTGTTTTGCCTGCATGTATGTCTGTGTGAGGGTGTCAGATCCTGAAGTTACAGACAGTTGTTAGCTGCCATGCTGGATGCTGGGATTTGAACCTGGGTTCTCTGGAAAAGCAGCCAGTGCTCTTAACCATTGAGCCATTTCTCCACCCCCCACCTCCACCCCCA